TTTAGTGGCCATGGAAGCATCAGCCATCTTGGGCCAGGCATCTCTCTCACCAGAAAGCATCAAGCATGCTGGCTTTCTCCTAGACGTTGGTGCTTCACATACCACAATCCCACTCCACTTCAGGTTGACCTCTGACTTGCAGGGCCAAACACAGTTTATTTATGTAGACAAAGCTTCAGATAAAACTAAGTGTTAAGATGTTAAGGTTCTTACAACAAATTAAATGCCAGTGGCCTGGTTAAGTAGCCTGTCACTGTGCAAAGTTTGTTGCTTAGAATTATGCCACCTACCAGAGTTTATATTTGGGGTTTTACAGACTTCAGCAGTCTTTATGTTTTTTTAAGGGTACTACTGACTGACTGGACTTGTACCCAATCAACTCCCTCTGTACAGGCTCAACAATCAGGTTTTTTTCATTCTGAGAAATTTAACTGAAAACCGCACTTTGTCCAAACGCTTAACCTTTAGACAAACTCATTTAGACTGACAAGTTATGCAGCTGTTTGCCAATGTAGCATAGACAAGAACGATGGAAAAATTTTATTGCCCGAGGTGGATGAAAGACAGGTAGGGCAAGATATCAGAAACTACAAATTTCATGGGCACAAATTCTTGCTTGCCTCTGACCCCTACTCCCAGAATTCACATCCTGCTCTCAGTGCAAAGGGGTGTCTGCCTGCAGTTATTTCGAATGCAGCTGTGGTTAGAGCTGCATTTCACAGATGAAGAGGTCTGGCCAGCAACAAACCTGCACCACCAGCCACAATGGAAAAGTAGTGACTGAGCTCCCATGAGACATCAGGGACAACAAAGAACCCAAGTACCCAAGGCATTAGCTCAGCTTCTTCCCTGCCACAGCACTAGCTTTCACCACTGACTTGCCAGATTTTACATGCAAATTGATCCCTCTCAGAAGACTCTTGTGCAGACAGCTCCAATATGTTCGTGGTGCCCAGCCTTCTCTCCTGACTGTGGCACCTGGCAGAACAACCCTCCCTGCTATCACAGGATTAAAAGATGAGCTCAGAAGGTAATAGCCCCAGTGAATAAGGGCACTAGCTATGTTCAAGTTAGAGGAAGTTGCTTCTGGGCTTCAGTTCTGCCATAAACATTTCTAGTCTTCTTGCACCTGCCCCTGAGATACACCTGGCCACAGTTTGACAGCTTGGACTAGAGCACTCAAAAGTCACACCAGACAAAGCCACACTCTGTTAAATACTACTCATATTTGGCATTCTCTTTTCCCATTCCCCAAGAAAAGCAAGTTATTTGATGATCTCTGGGTCAGCTGTACTTGTTCCAAAGCTCAAACAGAACTAAAAAAGACAAGACCACAGTGTACTAAGTTATCTCCAACAATGGCCAGGAAGGAGCGAAGGGTTAGAGGAGTAGAAAAAGAATCCGAACTAAAAAACTCCCAAGAGACAAGTTTTCATATGACTTACCCTCTTGAGCATCCACAGCACTACAACTTATTTGCTTTCCCACTTCATAACTTTGGGGAAACTGTCTTAAAAGGGAATTAGTCACACAAAAGCCATCACATTTGGCATGTCAAAACAGTGGAGGTCTACTTCGCTGCAAAAGTCAGGAAAAGTTTCTCATAAAACCTCCTGTTGGATACTTTGGCAAATGAATCACTAGAGATAACTATGTCTCAAGAGGCAAAGCCATGCTTGCCCCTCGGGTACCAAAGCATCAGCATAAAAGAATCACCACAGCAGACTTGCTTTTTCAACCCCAGTTTAAGATCACATCAAGTTCAACTTTCACATCCGTCCAGAACAGGACAAATAGTTCCAAGGGCTGGCAGAGCAGTGTTAATCAGCTGATGCTGAAACAGCCCGCCCTGGGCTGGGCTTTCCCAAAAAGAGACATTGCAAGCATGTCCCATTCTCAGCCCTTCTTCAGAGTTCTCACAGCAGTAAGTCTGCCCATGCCCGTAGCAGTCACACCTCTCCAGCCTTTCAAAGTTACGACAGTATCACTCCATCTCTGTCCACAAACTATTAAGATAGGGTTCAGCTGCACCAAAGGTCAGAGCCTGCAGCAACTCATCTATTAAGCTTCTTTGGCATCTTACTGAACACCCTCCCAAATTGAGTAACCACCATACTAAGCAATAGGGTTTGCAGCTCCTGGCCTGTACAGGAAGAAGTCAGCCTGATCCAGCAACCATCATCCATAAACATTTCTACTTGCCACAGGACTGCTGCAGCCTGGAATTAACACAGAACAAGGTGACAGAAGCACTGACAAGAAAGAATAATTTTCATTCGCATAGGCCTCCATTAATAGAGAGAAGCATAGAAGGCCAGTGAAAGTGGATGACATTTTTATCATCTTCCCCGTCTATGGTGCTTTGCATTACATATACAGCAAGACTTAATTATTTCCTTTTCAAAGATGAGGAAATTGAGCAATAACGTACGTTTATATTTGACTGTCACCCAGTGGCAGAAAAGGAGAGAGCAGCAAAAGCTTCAGTTCCAAAGTACAAATCAATGCACTAAATTACAAAGCTGCTGAACCCTTTAGTTCTCCAAGATGCAAAAACCTCTTATTTAAAATCATGGTGTTGGAAGGGACCTAAGAGATCATCAGGGACATCTTCCATTAGAACAGGTTGCTCAAAGCCCCATCCAGCCTGGCCTTGAACCCCTTCCAGGGTTCAAGACAACTTCTCTGGGCAACATGTTCCAGTCTCTCTGTGCTCCATGATCCTGCCAGGCACAGAGGTGAGACTGACTGGCCTGTAGTGCCCTAGGTCTTCATTTTTTCCCTTTTTTTTTTAAATGGGGGTTATTTTCTCCCTTTTCTAGATGACGGGAACTTAACCAGACTGCCACAGCTTCTCAAATATGATAGTGACTTAGCCACTTCATCCAGCAGCTCCCTCAGAACCCATGGATGCATTTCAACAGGTCCTGTGCACCTTCATGTTCCTTAGATGGTCTTGAACCTGATCTTCTCCTACAGCGGACTGGTTCATTCTCCTAGTCCCTGCCTTTGCCTTCTGCAATTCAGGCAGTGTGGCTGGAGCACTTGCTGGTGAAGACAGAAGCAAAAATGTTGTTGACTATCTCAGCCTTTGCCATGTCCCAGTAAACAGGTTGTCCCTTTCATTCTAGTGAGGGCTCACATTATTCCTAGTCTTTCTTTTATCATCAACATACACATGGAAGTTTTTCTTGTTGCCCTTCATGTTGTTGGCCAGGTTTAATTCTCTCAGGCTTTCCTAACCTGATTCTGGCTATTCACACAATCTCTGTATTCCTCCCAGGCTTCCTGCCACTGCTTCCACCCTCTGTAGGCTTCCACTTTGTGTTTGAGTTTGTCCAGGAGCTCCTTGTTCATTCACACAGGCCTCCTGCCATTTTTGCCCAGCTTTCTCTCTGTTGGGATGCATCACTCCTGAGCTTGGAGGAGGTGACCCTTGAATATCAACCAGCTTTCTTGGGCCCTTCTTCCCTCAGGGCTTTATCCCATTGCACTCTACCAACCAGACCCCTGAAGGGGCCAAAGTCTGCCCTCCTGAAGGCCAGGGCAGCAGCAATGTGCTATGTGCCCTCCTCACTGCCCTAAGGACCTTGAACTCCCAACACTTCACGGTCCCTGCAGCCAAGGCTCCCTTTGAGCTTCACATTCCCCACCAGCCCCTCCTTGTTGATGAGCAAAAGGTCCAGCATAGCACTTCTCCTCCTTGGCTCCTCTATCACTTGGAGAAGGAAGTTACTGTCAGTGCATTCCAGGAACCTCCTGGATTGCTTTGGCCCTGCTGTGTTGTCCCTCCAACAGATGTCAGGGTTATTGAAATCCCCCACGAGGACCAGGAACTGTGAACGTGTGGCCCCTCCTGTCTATAGGCAGTTTCATCCACTCAGTCTTCCTGGCTGGGTGGCCTGTAGCAGACCCCCACTATAACGTCACCTGTCCCTGCTCTCTCTTTAATCCTGACCCTTAACCCCTCGGCCAGCTCCTCATTCATCCGCAGGCAGAGCTCCATGCACTCCTGCTGGTCACTGACACAGAGGGCAACACCCTCTCCTCATGCCTCCTGCCTGTCCTTCCTCAAGATCCTGTATCCTTTCAACACTCCAGCCATAGAAGCCATGCCACCACGTTTCTGTGATGCCAATGAGACCACAGGCAGGTACATGCACATCTTTAACTCTTGCTTATTCCCCATGCTATGTGTATTTGCATAGAGGCATTTAAGTTGAGCCTCTGAAGACTTACTGTCTGAGGTGCCTGGAATTCCTTTGTGCTGCCAGCCTCTCCAGCCACAAAATGTAATGGCACAGGTTTTCCTTTGCAACAGTTGACAGAAAAGCATTCTCTGGATTTACCAAGCAGAGTATCTGTTAACAGAGGAAGTATATCATTCCCTCTGGAATGACAGAAAGCATCCATGAGCTACTATTGCATTCCAAAATCTTCCACCAAAGCCTTCCTTATCCACCATTACTAGATTCTACAGGGGGCCTTTGAGTCCACATCCATCTTCAGACACCAGTCTTCCCCAAAATCTTTACCATTTCTCCATAAAAAGCATGTTGAAGAGGATTCCTGCAGCTGGCCCTCTTCTCTCACTTGTCTCTCAGGAATGGTCACCTAGATAATCAACAACAGACTTACAGGACCTGATAAACATGGAAGAAATACTACATATGACCCTTTTTAAACCTGCTGGGACTAGCCCTTAATAACATAGAAAATGCAACTTTCATTCATCATCTGATCACAATGCTAGAAAAAAACACAGGAGTCCACAGGTAACAATGAAATTTGGTTCTGATTAACAGCTAATTGTAGTGTCTAATGTTACTTACACAGGTTGGAATTGAAGAAACCCAATGGTCTAACTAAATTTCTACACATGTTGTTGATTTCTGGATGTTGCTGCCTCTACCACAGCACCATGGTATGACATCAGAATATATACTGTAATCCTAAACAGCAGGTTCTAAAACAGAAATAAACACATGCAAGCCATTATCTTCAATTCAAATATTACATAATTAAATTCCATATATCACAAATCCTTCCAGTGTAAGAAGACATACAGTTGCATTAAAGGCAACACAATGATGTCTGTTTAAGATGACTCCAAACAGGGCTGGGCACGGAAAAGCAGTGGAAGTTCTCTGAGGAACAAATAACTGAATGAAGATGCCCCACCATACTCTTCAGATATTAACAATTATGCACACCAACTCCAAAACATGAGCAGTCAAATCAAGGAAGAGAACAGGTACAGCAAGCTGTATGTTTTCCTATGGCAACAGTGCTACTGCACGTTAACAGACTTTCACTTTTTGTCCTTGGTCACAAACTGCCTCTAATATATGCTTCCTTTGTACCTCTGGAATACTATAGGACAGTGGGACTTCATCATGGAGGGACAGTTAAACATGCTGAAGATTAATTCTGCAAATATACGGAGACCGGAAGGAACCCAGGTAAAGATATCCATCGTGTTCATGTGCCTCGCTAACATAAGCTACCATCACTCCATTGGGATCATGAAAGCTTCTTCTGTAGGATCCTGTCTCAGTAAGTTCAACAACAAGGCTATATTTGGGCACAAAATTTGTCACGGTTTCCTGACTCAGCAACTAAAAGAAAAAGAAAAGAAAAACAGAAAATTAACAAAAGATTTTGTTCTCCACAATTATATCTCAGCCACTTATACAGGCAAAGACCATTCCACACTCCTTGGAAGAAGCAGCTAAGAACATAAGCACACAATTTGAGTAAAGACTATTACACAGGGTTAATGCATTAATATGTGAAAAGGCAACTTGAAAAGAAACAAAACAACCAGCAGAAGCTTACTCTACTCCAGAGCTAGGCTGAAAGGTTGCCCAAGCAGGAGACATCAGCTTGTTCTGGTGCAGCTGAGCCAAGCAGCCATCATGCTCTGCTGCCCGTAGCATCATTTTTTGTTAAGGCTCCTGCACTGCACCAGGAGAGACAGGGACAGCACAGAGCTTGTTTAGCTGAAATGGTGCTTCCATTCTAAACACCACTTGTTGATTTTTATTTTTTCAAGGACAGAAGAAGTATTTTTATGTCTTTGTATTGTCCAAAAAGCACCATGCCGTTTCTTTAGCATCAGATAGCCCTTATTCTTGCTCATCCTCATCCTCAGGGTGTGACACAACAAAAGGCATATTGAATCAGAACAAAATGTCACCCAACACCATCCATAACACACACACTGTCTCCCAAGATGCCTACGGTAGTCATTAGAACAGGCCAGACTTCCCAAACACTCCTCAGACACCTGGCAATAAGTATTTTAGGCACTTCAGGTACAAAGGTGAAGTCTTCACATATCCAAATGTAGATCCTGTGTTGCTGCATGACTAGAGTAGAGACAGTCCCGTTTCTTTCCTGAGATCAAGATGGAAGACAACTTAAGAGATGTTTACCCGCTACTCAGAGAAGCAAACGTTAGTTTTACAGAATGCAGATTAGCTCAGCTAGTTAGAGCATGGTGCTAATAATGCCAAGGTCACAGGTATGATCCCCGTACAGGCCATTCACTTAAGAGTTGGACTAGATGATCCTTGTGGCTCCCTTCCAACTCAGAATATTCTGTTTTACTACCTATGAATATAAAGGACTGTTCTACCCAGGGACAGCAACAACAGTTTTAAGCACAACACAAAACATTTTTTTAAGTCTTCCTGTGAAGAGGAAGAAACACGAAAAACAAATATTTAGCACTTCGATTCCTAAACTAAAGGTGATTTTTTAAAAAAATTCTTTTTAATTTTTTTTTTTTACCTTAAATATCATCTTTTTAATCCATGGTTTTTCAGCCAAGAAATCCAACAAAGAAAATCCAGGATTGTGCCGGACAGCTGCCATAGCTACCCAATATCCTCCAGAGCTGCTTAACCTGATATTATCTGGAAGACCAGGCATGTTCTCAACAAACATATCTGCTCCACCTTTCATCAGCCCAGATACATAATACCTGAAAGTTATAGATAGTAGATTAGGACATCTTAAGCAGTCTAAATAACAAATAAAAGTCCCAAAATTATTTCATTTCAAAAAGAGGGTTTTTTTTCATTCCTCAGGTTCAGGGAAATACAGCCACACTCTTCTCACCAGAAAAAAAGTCAGCTTACTCCACTATGTGTAAGGAGCCCACGATGGAAAGATTACGCATTGCAGATTTTTACAGCAAAATAAAAAAAAAACAAGTATCGAGGAAGGCCACCTTCTCTGTCACTTATACCTAGGCATAAATAAAGTGTAGGATTTCTTTTATCATTCCACTCATTTATTTAAACAATCTCTAAACAGAGATTGGTAATAAATTCAGTGAAGTCATACTCACCTCCTGATTCTAGCCATGGTTGTCTCCTGCACCAGGACAAAGTCTTCTGCAGGAGAGAGCTGCACACCATTGGGAAACCTCAGCCCCACCATTAAGACTTTCACTTCTTTTGTTACTGTGTCATATTCAAGGAGGCTAAAAAAAAAGCATTTTTGAGTTAACACAAATATTTATTCATGTCTGTTTCATTCTCCAGGCATTCCATCTTTTCTCAATGCACTTCACTTAAGTTAAAAAGGCAGAATAGCCAGGAAGCATTTGTTTATGAACACAGAAGAAATAATAAGCCACTTGAGACTGGCAGCATTCGTGAAGGATTTGAGCTGAAGGTAATGCTAACACCTTCACTTCTAAAACAGATGTTCCATGCAAGTCCTCTTGAAGGAAAAAGAAGAATCTCATTTATTTTGCTGCAGGTCTCTTTAGCAACATCCACACATACTCTTACCTCTCCTGAGCAGTGCAGTGTTTGCACAGGTGGTTTATAAGGAGAAAAAATTTGAAGACCAAGGAAGCGGTGAAGTCCATTCCTACAACTGAGCTTACAGTAAGTTAAATGCCTCAGAGAAGAGATACTTGCCGCCCATCATCTGTGCCTTCCATAATCAAGAATAAGTAGTCTCGTCTTTGCCATTTGCTACTGGAGTCAGTGAAGTAGATTTTCCTCCCATCCCGGGTCATTGTAAGATCATTTACAAATGACAACTTCTGACCTTCAATTACTGTTTTGGTTGACACAAGCATTTTCGTTTCACCTGGTTACAAAAGAAACAAAAAAAAGACTCACAAGACAAGCTTTTGTATGTCCTGCTTTGGAAATGAGTAAATACTAATACGAAATTCAGTTCACTTTTTTCAATTCCTGCCTCTTTGTTAAGCAAGAAGGTTTTGGCCTGTAATGGAACAACTCAACATGAATGACCAGGAGAAAATACTCTCCAGAAAAACTGAAACAGTAGATTATGTTCCCTAATGATAAGTGCCAAATTTTCACATTTCTGAAGTTCATATGAAACAAAGTGCAAACTCAGGTCCCAACCTGCAGGCAAGCAGGGGGCAGGCAAGGATGCAGGCAAGCCAATCACTACTCCTTCTCTCCCTATAAACCTGTAGGAACAAAGAGTAATACTTTCTAGGCATTAAAACATCAGCAGGTCCACTGAACTGCTCTGCCACAAACTACCAGGTCAATTATTAAGGTCAAATCTCTAAAAATCAACCAAAATCTAATTAAGTCATGTTCAGGCACAGGGTTTGGGTTTGTATGCTTGTTTTTGTCATGACTGAGCTATTATGACAGCTGTCTGCCATCCAAATACTCTCCCAGGGCAACACAGTCTGAATCTTTCTATTACATTTCACCTAGCATTTGGCCAGCCTCTCCCCACCTGAAGCCAATGTGCAGAGGTAAACTGACAGAAAAATCAACCCTACACAAAACCAACTATCACTTTCTGACAGCACAGCTCCTAAACAGCTCCCTGAGATCTGCCTCAGGGACACATTGAAAGGCACAATGCAACAGTGCCTTTCTCAGCAGGAACAAGCCACGTGATCTTCAGCTGCACCAAAATAAATCTTTCTTCCCTTTGTGTAGATTTAGGTTACAGAGAAGTTATAAGCTTTTCACTACCACAGCAAGATCAAGGCAGAAACAAAAGTACAGCAAAAACAACAAAAAGTTTATGTAACAACAATCTTTTTTCTTTCCTTTTATGAAAACTGAAACAGCTACACAGAGCTTTATTCATGGGTTCTGAGGTAGCAATTTTGACAACCAAAAATATGTAACACCAGAAGATAAGTTATAGTAACTGATCCAGACAGACAGATACAGAGAGGAAGTGACTGCTACAGGAAAATAAATATCAAGTTCTTGCATGACTCATTTCATCCAGACAGCTTCAAATCACTTTACAAAGAAGACAGGCATTGTTTTCTGGCCTGCAGTATCTGGTAAAACTGCAAATGAAGCCCAGATTTGTCAGTGGAAGAACTGAGCAGAAAGGTCATACCTGTATCAGGATCAACTTCATAGAGTCCATAATAAGCATCTGCCACAAAAAGAGTGTTATTTGGCCCAACTCTGATGCCAAGTGGTCTTCCACACGTTGGCTCATCTTCGTGGGTTCCTTAGGAAACAGTTTTAAAATGGTTTTCCAAATAGAAACAAATACAAGGCATTCTGGCTACCTATATAAGTGTATTGGATATGTGTAAGATGGAGTTCATTTTCCCCACAGCAGCCCTCACAATGCTGTGCTTTGCTTTGGTAGCTAGAAAGGTGTCCATAACAGACCAGTGTTTTGGCTACTGCTGAGCAGTGCTGGCACCGCATTAATGCTCTCTCCAACATTCCCCTCTCCAGTAGGCTGGGACTGGGCAAGATCTTGGGAGGGGACATAACCAAGAGAGCTGACCCAAACTGACCAAAGGGATATTCCACATCATATGGTATTAGGTCAGATATAAAACCTAAGAGAAAGGAGTAGGAAGGGGAGGCATTCATTATTTACAACATTCATCTTTCAAAGCAATTTACATGTGCCAAGGCCCTGCTTCCTAGGAAGAAGTCAGACATCATTTGCTGATGGGAAGTAGAGAATAAAACATTTGAGGGTTTGGGGTTTTTTTTTCCTTTGCTTGCACATGTGACCTTTGCTTTTGTTTCAGTAAACTGTCTGTATCTTAACCTAAGAGGGGGTTTTATTTGTCTTCCTTTCTTCCCCCATCCTGCTAAGGAGGAGAATGATAGAGCAGCTTGGTGGGCACCTGGCTCAAACTGTAGCTTAAAAATCTCTGTGGCATACATATGGCACATACCTTCATTAAAGAAAAGATTCCTACTTTTCTAGGTGTGAGTGAAACAGATATCCCCATGCCATGTTTTCACCAGTCTAGAGAGAATCATACAATCTGCCAGGCTAGTCACTAGCTAACAGCTGCCTCAAATAGGGTTAAATATCAGAAAATTGAATTTAATGAAATGCTTCTTCTCAGAAAGAATCAGTTTTACTGCAGGTTCGTGGAATTAGGTTTTTTTAATTAAATTAATTTTTAATTAAAAAAACCTTTCTTTTTCTGAAAAGGTCCAACATTGTCATGAAATAGCTGCTTTCTCAAGACCCGGACATTGAATACTTCTACACGAAGAGGAAGGGGAATACTGTAAATCTGAAGAATTTAGACAAATTCAAGGAGATACTTGAGTCCTGAAGAGCTAAGAAGTTCAGAACATCTACAGTTTGAAAAATTAGAAATTTCTGGAGAAGGCAGTTGGCTACAGCATTTCCACTTCCCTCCCCAACTCAAGGAGTACAAAAGTCCAGGCACCCCATTACCACTCTGGGTAAGATAAGCACTTGCATGAGCAATCCAGACTGAACATAGTTTAAGCAACACATACCCTTGACTCAGACATTTTCAGATACACTATGTTCAGGAGCTGTCACTCACCACAAGGACCATGGCCAATTCTGGATATTGTTTGTATTTCCCCATCTTCAATTTTGATAATCTTCCCATCAGCTGTCCCAGTAAATAGTATATCTGCAAAAACAACTGATTAGCTTGATCACAAACCCACAGTGGCAAACATCCTTCTACATGATCCTTCTACTAGCATGTAGTAGAATTCAGGTTTTAGAGACAGTGAAGTGACAGACTTCTTCAGTCATAGCAAAAGAAAAATACATGGAAGGGGAAAAAATGAAGGCAAATAAGAGCATTTGGTTAGATTTCTTCCAACTCAGGAAGAAGGGGAAGGATTTAAACCTTGGGAGTGTCTATAGGATATGAAGCTTTTCACCCACAGGTGGTCTAAGTTCTTAGTTAAAGGTAAACATAACTTAATGGCCAGTCATTGGATCCATCTGGGTAAATTTCTACATCATCACAAAATGTGGTCAGACACTGCATTTATCTTATCACTCTTCAATGAGAGACTGACTAGATAAAACTTCTCATTCGGATACAGTCCACGTTGGCTGCTGGGCATGTGCCAATGCTCATATTGTATCAGTTCTGGAGATGAATTACAAAAAACTATGGCAATCGAACAACCATACAAATCAAAAGCATTGCCAAATTACTGCATTCATGCCAAGCTGTGTGATAGCATAAGACATTAACTGAATACAAACAACACAAACTTTTCCATACAACCAAACTAAATGAAACACTGTTAGATTAGTAGAGCCCATTGCTTGAACTTTTCCATCTCTAATTTAACTGATGTTTTAGGTTTGCTAATTACACTTTTAAAAGAGAATAAGAAGACTCCAACATTTATTCCCAGTCAGGTTGATTATTTTATCCATAGGTCATAGTCCCTTGCAGGAAGGTTTCTTTAAAGAGTTTCCGAAGAGATTGACAAAACCAGGCAACATAAAAGAATCAATAGCTTCAGGTAATCACTTTTACCTATCTCTGTTTACAATGTGCTAAAAAGTGTAATCTGAGGAAGGAATTTACAGTAGTTTCTTACTGGGTAAAATAATTTCTTAAAAATATTTTATTAATTTATTAGAAGATAAAGCAGAAGGAAAAAAAAAATATATGATTACTGAACACCTCTTGTACCGAAGGATCTTTCAGGAAGGGCCTTGCTTGGAACTCCCACACCCTTTCCCTTTCAGAGAAAAAGCACTCAAGGACTCATGTAAAGAGTAGTTTCTAGCCTTATTCTTCCTTCAGGAGGCACAGGAAACAAGCCCTGCACAATGTTAGGTTCCTGCTAAGAGGGTCACACCATTAGAAGTCTAGATAAGTCATTAAGAAAGTGCTCAGAGGTGGCATGGGTTTGTGATTTGGGGAGAACACACATTCCGTGAGGAAGAAATACAGGATGGTACCTGTGTTGGTTAGATTTCTTGCAATTCAAAAAGAAGAGGAAGGATTCAAGTTTTAGGAGTTATGAATATGGAATATGAAGGAGTTATGAATATGGGATATATTATGCTATGTACCAATTTGAGGGTTTTTCTGTCATAAAAGCAAATATGAAGACCATGAAACTCAGCTCCCTCAGTGGCAATGACCATTAAAAGAGCAGGTGAATATTAATTCCCAGTTAAGAGCTAGTCAAATGAAATGGGACCACTTCCTCCAAACATAAGTAGCCCCTGACTACACTGCTGATGCTTTCAGTCAAGGACAGGGATTTTTAATCTGGCAACAAGATTTATTTTATTCTCACGAAAGAGGAGAAAAGCAGTACATTGCAGCCAGGTTTTGCTGCCTAACACAATTACTTTTACAAAAATTCAAAGTAACTTACAGAGTTTGTTATCTAAGAGGTATACTGCTGAACAAACTCTTTATCGATGGAGCAACATTTAAAGACCCTTCTTTAAAAGCTTATTTTGTCAGTGCTTACCCCCAATATTGACAATGGACTCTGGTCCATACAGCTGGTTTTCCCATAACCGCTCAGCTTTTCGTAACTTGATATTGGGCTCTAGTACACCCGTCAGGAGGGGAGGTTCCTTCAAACTACAAAACAGAATACAGACCCCGTGATGCTTTGCACAAAATGCAAACATTCTTGAGCAACATATTGGATCGTTTTTTACCTAGTTTGCCAACTCCTGCAACCCTGACCTATGCTTTACATAAAGCATATTTCAAAAACACCCACAGCTAACAAGCTGAAATATTGACTCTTGTTCTTCAAGGATCACAACAATTTCATGGTTCTGCTCATCAGAAAAGTTGCAGTTATGTGTTCCTAAGAAATCTCTACATCTTCAAGTCCAACAGTTCACCTATCTTACACAAAAGCAAAGGATTTGTGCATTGCCATAACACAAAAGAATAGCAGTTTTCTCAGCTGAATGAGTTGTTTGTACCAGAATATTTTTCCTAAGTTGATATGTACAAATTCATAAGCAAAAAAGTTTTAAAAATTAAAAGCCTGGTATGTTACAATACACTGAGACCTGACAATGTACAGCACTTTCAGAGAAAAAATAACTTAATTATTTCCCCCCAGCTTACAGTTAGGGGGAAAAGTGTTCCAGTAGCTTGAACACTAGGACACACATGCTTTCATACCATATTGAAATATAGGGTCTTGTTCATAACTTGAATGCAGGCCCTTAGAGAAAGACCAACTCAAAGGAGTAAGTTGCACATGAACTTAAAGGGTATTGAACTCCCATCTCAAAATGACAAAATAAGGCCCAATCTTGCAAGCCCTTCACATAAACAATCAGTTTCAAGCCAACTAGGGTTCCAACTACAGAGATACAGAGAAGGGAAGCAGTAAGATGCCTACAACTCTAACTAAAATACCAGACTCCAAAACCAGCCTTAACTGAACTTGAATATGTTTCAGCCTCTTAAGTTCTTAAAAGCTTTTAACACATAAGCCCCTCAGTCTCCATGAGTTAAGGATTTCAAGTTGTTCATTCACAGGAGTATGCTAAAGATACACAGGCCAAGTTTTGAAATAATTTTTTGATTTTTTTTCTTTTAATAACCCTTTATATGACCATAAGCAAATGCCTTACACCCAGAGAATCTTTAAAAGATGAGGTCTGACTCCAAAATTTACCCATGTTCATAGAATCCAGGATCTATTTGTCACCAACCACGTTGCAAATCTACTGCTCATATGGTGAAAATCATTACAATTTCTAAAGATTCAGTAACTGGAAGAAAAAAGTCAACAAACTGGAAACTATGAAAGCCATGACAATTGAGGAAAACAGGTTCACAACACGAATAATTCAGAAACAGAGAAAAATACATATTCCTATCTGTCTGGTTACAGACAGCAAACTTTTCTTTAAGTATATATTACTACAGTGACAAAAACAACTGAATTATTAGCTTCTGTACAGAAGAGATTTACAGGAGAATTGTCTTCACAGTGCTAACACAAATTTGTTTTCCATCCCTTCTTCCAAGCTTAGAGAGTTTCAGATGAGGATAAGAAGCTTCAGATAAGGAACTCATTTGCTGGGAACTTTGGACAGTTGTGTGTGCAAGCAGAAAAATCTCCCTGGGATCAATATTATCCAAGACAGACTCATAGAGAAAGAACTTGAAATAAAACAGAGTTGCAGGAATTTCACAGGCAGTTTTTTCTCCCTCCTATTATTCGTTATAGTTTCCAGTGGCTTACTACTTCACTATTAGCCAGTGAGACTCCTACATGTTTTTTCACAATCTCTCTGGGCAACCTGTTCCAATTGGCTTTTAAAATTACTGTTCAGTCGCAATGTATTTTAGGGAATTGGGGTTTGTTAAACCCAATCACAGTATAAAGTATTTCACTATGATATGCATTGAGGCAGCTTATGTCTAATAGCCTACTTGCAAGACTTGTAAGTACCACCCAACCACATTTACAGTTTCTTTCAACTTTGGAGATGTTTGCAGTGTTGTTGTTCCTTTTCATATAGCAATTATCGAGTTGATCATAAATATTTATCAGACAGAGCATTTTTACCTACTTCAAAATGCCAGCAGCGCTAAACAGCCTCACTCCACCCTAGGGTAGCTGTCAAAGCATTTAACACACAACTCCCAATACAGGTCACATCTCATGTAGTTGATTCACTGTTACACGTGACACATACCTCAATTCAGATGTTTATGAATTCAGACACCTAGCTGCATTGCTTTATGAGATCTGCATTTAAACGTAACATCATCAGATGATTCCCCTGATACAAAGCACCAAATCAATTCATTCGGGTTATCCACTTTCATTTTTCATTCTCAGATAAGCAGCCTCTCTTTGACAGAATGATAATATCAGGGGCACAGCTTGGTCCTTAGTGAAATTGCAGTTCTTGTCTCACAGAAGGCAAGAGCACATGTGTGTAATCACAAGCTCCACTGATAGCTTGGATAGCAGAAAATTTTCCATATTAATAATCAAAGAAAGTAATTCAGCTCCTTTGATGATCAGTAGTGACACACAACTACACAAGATGGCTCAGAAACAGACTGGCTACAGGTAATATCACAATCACTCCCCAATTTCTTAATCCAGTTAGAACCACTTTATGCTGTTAACTCTTGTTTGTTGAAACAAAACAACAGAACACATAGGAGAAGTTATGCTTCAGGAACATTTACTCCAAAGCAAAGCAACAGTTTACCTTATAGGCTGAGGGTCTATAGGACAATCCAGTAGAACAGTTACTCCAAGCAGCGGCACAGTCAGAGACGCAGCCAAAGTCAAGAAGGTAACACGGAACACCTTGCTGCTGTAAGTACTGCCAAACCAGACAAGAAATAGGATTAACACGTTAAGCTGTTTACAGGTGCAACAGTCCTCAAAAATTCTGTAGCAGCCTATTTTCTTCAGAAGAGGAAACAGAAACACTTTTGCCCAACCACTATCTTGACCTTCAAGGTGCAATTTGAACACATTAGGATAAGAGAAAGGTCAGCATACTGGCATCATATGAGGTAGAGCATTTTCACGTGCAGGTTTCATACATTCTACAAGTTACAACTGACTAAAAAAACCCCAAAATAAAAACAAAAAAAAAACCACCAAGAAACAGAGGAAGTGAATTGTTTGGTTGGGGTTTTTTAAACTTGATCTTCAGTTTTGGCCATGGTTTCCATCCCAGCAAAAATTCTGAATGAAAAGTTCCACTGATACAACAAACATAGAGAAAGTTAAATTAATGGTTGCTTAACTTAGTGAACTCTGGTTTGAAACTCAAAATGAAGCACACAAAAGAAATTATCTTCTATTTACCCATCAAGGCACACAACAAAAAAAAGTAAAAACTGTTCTTCCACAGGAGAAGACTAGATTTTGTTCTTGTCCTAGTTGCAGGGGGGTAGGGCCTAGAGCCATGTGGGTTTGGTGAGGTTGCTATTCTATACCACTCCTGTCATCAGGGGGTGGGGGAGGTGGTTTCAGGGGAAAGAAAAAGGTGAACGTACACTGGACCTGTGCCGTTTTGTTCCATTCAGGGAATTTGCTGGGACCAGCGCTGTGGACCTTGTCCCTTCCTATCCCTCAGGAGTGTGCAGCTCCAGGCAGCAAACGTAGCTGAGTCGGGTGGACTGTGCCCATCAGGGGTGCTGGTGCCAGAAGCAGCCACAGGGAACGGAGCGGTGGTGAACCTAGCCGAGCCGAACCCAGTCAAACACTGCTGAATCCTGCCGAACACAGCCAAGCCGCAGACGTGACTCCAAAGTGGCAAACACAGCCGAGGGGAGTGGGCGGCATGGCACAATACAGACGATCCAGCTTTTGGGGGTTTTGTCCGTCACTGTTTTTCATTGTCTCGGGCTCAGGAACTGGGAAGGCCAGCTGCAGAGAGCATCTGCCATCTTGTCTTTGTCTCAGGAGGCTATGGGGCACTAGCTGCAGAAACATCCACCATCTCGTCCTTGTCTTGGGAATAACTGTGAGCACCATTTTGTGTGTAAATTGTTATCTCAACCCATAGTTTCTGCCTTTGTCCCTCTCTCACCAAAGGAGGGCAGGGGGAAGGAGAGCATCTTATTTGGAGTTTAATCCCAGCTGGTTTTAAACCACTACAGTTCTCAAAAAGTTCAGAGAAATCAATCAGGCATTCACAGAGGAAAGCACAGAGCCAAGTTCAACAAATTCTAGTCCTGAACTAGTGAAGCAGCTCTCACAATTTTAGCTGTTCTGAACCATTCACTGGCCCAGCCAGCCAGTCCCTTTGCAGTATCAGTTAAATAAAGACAAACTGCTTGATGGTTCTGCACTAATCCTTGGACCACTTCCATTGTTTTGTTCTTCATTAGCCAACCACCCAGACAGTAGGAAACATGAACTACTGCCCAGAGCACAAATATCACAACTGGGGAGTTAATGACATGTACTTGTAGTACTGATATCAGCATCAAGGTAACCTTTGGGATTACCAGCTAGAACAGCAAGGTCTGAACTAGGCCTGGATTCACTCAGTGCTTGCATGCACAATGTCTAGAAATTCGGACATTCATAATTCATCACATCTCTTTCCTGATGGCAAATTGCTGTCAGCCCCTCTCTCCTGGCAGCAGACGTAGGCAGTTTGGATGAAGTCCTGCCCCAGTTTCCCCAGCCCTGCACAGCACTCAGCAGGTTGTCACAAGCCACCACACAAACCACCAGGCTGTGACGAGGTGACTGCCACAAGGATGCTGACAGCCTGCCATGACAGACAGTTCAGCCTGTTTCAAGAAGTGCTGATAGCACTGATGCTGTTGGTCACCAAATACTTCTCAGCTCCCCTAAGGTACTAACCACCTGAGCCTACCTCCTTTCCATAAGCATGTGCAAGTATTCCTGCTCTGGAATATATTAAAAAATAACTTTTAGTTCTTGCTCTCAAGAGCGCAGCATTCCCATCCTGAACTTCTGCAATGTTACAGCACTAAGCCTGTCTCCATCTGAGCTGGATCAGTCTGGGAAACCGCTTCAAACAAGCTTTTTCACCTGCACTGAGCTCTTCATATTTCCCAAGAGCCAGACTGCCCTTACAATCAATCGAAATGATTCAGCACTTCCTGCTTGATGTCTTGAGGAAGCAATAACCTCCCAGTCTGTCTCCCCTTGGATTTGGAATCCAAGAGCATGGGGTAAAGACACAAGGCAATCCCCAATTTTACACAAAGACTTCGGTTGTTGACCTTGCCTTTCCACTGTCCTTCAAAAGATGAAGCCTCAACATTCTAATATTCAAAGTACTGTCAGCAGACACCTGAGCATTTCTGTGACAGCTGAGAACAGCTCACACAAAAGAAAGCAGATAAAGATGAATGGAAACTCATCTACTATAGTCAACTTAATTGGGAACTCATCTACCACAGCTTAATTAAAGTTCCTGAAGGCGTGATTTCAGTAAAAGTCATATTTCTGATTCTCATTCAAACTTGCAAGGAACTAACAATGAAGGAAAAAGTCAGCAAGAATAAGGTGACAAGCAAACTCACACTTCAAGCCTGCAAATTGCAAGACCTAGTTTAGACACTGCTGAAACCACAAGAATTCAAGTAAAACCCAAAAACTTTAAAAAAAACAAGTCAGCTGCTCAGAATCATTATCAAAGGACATGATAAAGAATAATGACAACTGTAAGTCACAGGAAAGAATCACTGAAGTAAAGGTTCACCAACAGTGATAAGCAAAACAGAAATCCTTTGTTAATTATGTCTCTGATAATTAATCCTACATGGCCTGCAGCCACAAATCTCAATAATGCAACTTACCAGGACTCCAGCTATAATAACAGCAATTTAGTTGTCACTGTGAACTAAAAAAAGAAGCCATTACACCAGCTCTTGAAGACACACAGTAAGCTAGCAAGACAATACCATGGGTCACCCTAGCTAGGAGCCCAGGCTGCCTCATCCACTTGGCAGAAGCACTGCTGGGCTGGAGGGAAAAGCAACTGTCCTCAAGAGTTTCTGCCATGGCTCCCAGCCAGAAAAATGGCAGGCCCTAGAATTTCCTCCACTGTTTTCATGCAGGACATGAGAACACGAGAACTGTGAATACTCTGGATCATTGATGGAGCCCTTGATATTCAACTGATTTGAGCAGTTACCAAAAGAGGCTGAAGCCAGAAGTAGTCCCAAGCTCAGAGATGCTTATGTTCTTTTTTAAAAATAGGAACTACATTGCAAGCCATCAGACAGTCTTTCATTCTGATGACTCTGAAGGGCAGATATAAGAATCTGAAAAGTACTCAAATCAGCAGAGACATAAAAGATGGTGAACAAAAGTATTAGAAGTCATCAACTACCTTATTCAATGAAAGGTAAATACTCCCACTTTCTTATGGCAGCTATTACCTTAGTTACAGTGAGGCTATTTTATTTATAAAATTCCTAAACAGAAAATAGTAAATAGAATCTTTTTTAACTTAGCCACAAAGAGATTGCTTATATAGCTATTCTGACTCAGAAACATGTAGAATTGTCGTTAAACTATTGCTAAGATATAAACAGTTATACAAGACTTAATCACACCCACAATAAACCTGTGCAAGCCACAATGGGATAACTGTTAACTTCTCACTAGCAAATGATAAACAGTACTTAAACAGATCTACATTAAAAAAAAACCACCCCAGCCATAAATTAAAACTTTTTTTCTTTGCTTTTCTTTGCTTTTTTTTTTTTTTATTCCTTTATTAAAAACTCTTCCTGCAGCTCGGCAAAGCAGGTAGGCAAGCGCTGTCCCAACCCCTCCTCCCCGTCTGCGACCTCGAGCAGAAGGAGCACTGGGGAGAGCCGAGGTGCTGGAGGTACCCGCAAGCTGACACCCGCGGGTACCCAGCACCAACCTGTGCCTCCAGCCACGCGAGAGGAAATGCGGCCTCAACCCGCACAGCCGCGGGGCAGCCAGCCAGTCCCTTCCAGCTCCTCCCTGCGCACAGTGTCATGACGCCAGACCTGCTGCTCCCTCGCCGGGTCGCAACCCAGGCGGGGCAGAGCCGCTCTCCTCCCAGCACACACGCCAGCGCAATATATTTCTCAGGGCAGGGCCCAACGCGCGGCCCACAGCCGCAGCGTCACCAGCAGGCCTCTGCCTCCGCCGGGCGCAGCCGCGCAGCGGAAGACACACACCTGCCCTCCTTGGCCTCGCTGGCGCCGCGCTGTCGTCGTGATGAACGCTGCGGGGGGCAGTCGCCCCGCTGCCGCAGCGCCTCCACCCTCATCATCCCGCTGCTGCCGCCGCCGCGCACCGAACCACAGCCCGCCCCACCCGCCGGCCCCAGGCCAACGCCCCGCTGCCCAGGCCACGCCCTACCGCTGGCCTCAGAGCAGCCTACATCCCCCAGGCCACGCCCAAGCCCCGGGCCCGGCCCCGCGCAGGCCTCCCGCACGGGTTTCGGGCAGTGCCGGCAGCTGCCCTGCAGCCGCGGGGGTCTCAGAGCACCTTTCCAGAAGCATTTAACTATGATACTTGCCTTGCATGTGCCAAAAATTATTTCCTTGGACAAAAAAGTTTTGGATTTTTTGTCATTTGGGTACATTATCATACGCATAGTGTTACTCTTATTCACTGAGCCTCAATTACAGAAATTTTTTGGGATTACGTTTTTTTGACATCTATGTGAGCTTTTTTAACACATTTCAGTGGCAGGGGAGACTTATGCAGAACAGTGCTTCCTATCACCTTTTCTTTGTAACTACCAAGAAAGGTTTTACCAAATTTCCTCACAAACATAATATGATTTTCTGATTAAGCAGACTTTTGCTTACTCTCACCATAGTCAAGTTACTTGGGTTTCCTTTTTCTGCTTGAAGCCAATTTGGCTTCAGACTAAGAAATCGCCTTTGAGTGCCATGACTGACAGCATGCCTTCTGCAAGGACACACACGTGTAACTCCCTGTCAGGCCAGCAGCCGGGAGATAGGTATGCACTCAGTAAGCTTTTGAAAACAAATGTCGAACTGCATGCACATCTTTAAGAAGAAAAAACAAACACCAGTGTGGGAAGAGCTGCTCTTTCGCCTTCTCCCTGCCCTGGTTAGCATTAGACACAGGATTCCTATCTGCACTGTTTTGCAACTGATGTTTTAAAATGTAGGGATGGAGAATGGGTCAGTTAAACTCCTCATTCTGTAAACTAGGAGATGGTACTGCTTTCTCAGTTTATATGTTGCCACAGCTATTTCATGCTCTTTTCTACTTCTGATTTTTTAATCTTGTCAAGAAACTGAAAGCAAACTGACACTATAGACAAAAGATGGACATTGGAGTCATTGGAGTCACAAAAATTTCTGCATGTGTTTATATCTGCTTATCACAGCCTTCAGGGAATGGAACTTTGCCAGGCCAGAAATTCCTAATTCTCACCAAAATAAACGGGAGCTGCAAGTCTTAGCAGCGAATAAGACTGAATCTGTGGAAATGCAAAACTGAAAATTATCAAGAAGGACATCATACCTTCAGCAATCCTCATCTGTACAGTTGTACAGTTAGTCTAAAACTCATCTAGGAGAGCATGAAAATCTACAGTTGAATGAAGAGATGGTTTAAACAGAAAATTTGATTCTTCTCGGCCTGATTACAGGAATACAAATAAGAAATTATTCCATGGAAATCAGTGTGGCTGTGGCAATGTAATCTCAGTATAACTACAAAAATATATCAGCCCACAGGATACAAAATTGTCATAAAAAAATGTTCATCTTTTCCACCTGTTTCCACTTTCCCTAAACAACACTGGATGTTAAGTTGAACTTGGTGTGTTTTAACCTTGCATTGCAAATAAGGCTTTCCTAGGACTCCTGCATGCTCTGCTGTCACAGCCACCTGCCTGAGAGTGTGCTGGGAGAGAAGCAGATAAAAGCACAAGATTTCCCAGCAGATGTCTGATATTTGCCTGGGCTGGTGTCCTGGGCTGCAACAAAAGCAGTGTGTCCAGCAGGTTGAGGGAGGTGACTCTGCCCATCTACCCTGCTCTAGTGAGACTCCACCTGGAGTGCTCCATCGAGCTCTTGAGTCCTCATCACTGGAAGGGCATTGACCTGTTGTAGCAGGTCCAGAGCAGGAACAAAAAATTATTAGAATGCTGCAGCACCTCTCTCATGAGGAAAACCTGAAATGAGTTTGCTCAGTCTGGAAAAGAGACAGCTTAGGGGTGACCTAATTACGGCCTTCCAGTACCTGAGGGAGCCTATAAGAAAGCTGGAGAGGAACTTTTTATAGGAACATGCAGCAAAAGGACAAGGGGGAATGGATTCAAACTGAAAGAGAATAGCTTTAGTTTAGGTATTAGGAAGAAATACTTTACTGCCTCACCACCATTTACAGAGGGTGGTGCAGCACTGGAAAAGGTTGCACAGAGAAGTTGTGGGTGCCCCATCCCTGAAAGTATTCAAGGCCCGTCTGGATGGAGCTCTGGACAACCTGGTCTAGTGAAAGTTGGTCCTGCCCACAGCAGGGAGTTGAAAGAATGTGATCTTTAAGGTCCTTTCCCACCAATACATTCAACGATTCCATGATTCTGTGATATATCCGCTCCTCTGTCTCTGGCAGAAAAAGAAACCTGATCAAGTTCCCCATTACAGGAAATTGCAAATTTGGGGGGGCAGGGGGTGGAGGGGTGTTTATTTGCTGTCAAAAAATATTTTTTTATTGTAGTTGGAGTGTTCTTTCATCCTTTTCCAAGCTTTTGGTCCCCTGGGTAATCTTTTTGCATCCTTACTTACCTGCTTTATTGCCATTGGGAGGAGGTTAAGCAACTCGAAAAATGCAACAAGAGGTCCTGTTTCAAACTGCAACAGCCACTTCAGTGACCCTGAAGTGCCAGCCATACAGTTTGAATGCGTGGGCATTCAAAAGGCGAGTGGTTTGGAGGGATGGAGTTCTTGCCCCACTGCGAAAGCTGCGAGGAAATCAGAAGCAACCAAATGCCATTTCAGCTCAAGCCCTGCCCAAATTCTTACCCTTCCCCCACTCCTAGAATGGGCAGGCAGAGCTGGGCTCCTGCAAGGTTCCAATTTGAGTGCTCTGTGCTCCCTGTGCTTCCTGATTGGAACATGGCTAGTGAAGGAGGAAAGGGAATCTCAGGAGACAGGAGAGTATTTTCTCCCCTCCCCTTTCTCTCCTCAGGAGCCCCTCTGAAAGGTACATGCCTACACTGGATTTACATCTGACCCCTTCCCACCCACACCTTCAGTGGTGGGGATGTATTTTGTGGAACAGGATCTGGCTGGGACTGGTGCTGGGGGAGCCAGCCCGACAAAAACAAACACCTGTGGAGAGTGGCAAAGAGGGGGGTTGCAAAACCCATGCAGTGGATGTTTTCGTTTGCAGGTGCAAGAGAGCTTGGGCTGCTCTTCTCCCCTTTTCTGCCTTAGGATTTTTCTCTTGGCCAATGCAGGAGTAGGGGCTGCGGGGAAAAGGGGCTGCAGGGAAAAGGGGCTGCGGGAGTAGGCCTGTGCATGTTTTCCTTGCACGTACTGGCTGAGCCTTTCTAGGGCTCCCACTGCCCTCTTCCAGAATTGGGGGCTTTCTTACACAACCTAAAGTTTGGAAGCAAGAGTGAGGTGCTGGCAACAAGGCAGCAGGTGTGTGCGCAGCCATTGGTACAGCCCCCGCATCCCCTGGGATGCCCAGGTGAGGGTCTGGGAGTGGGCAGCATCTGCCTGATGAGCTCTGCCTGCATCCTGTAGGAAGACAGGAGTACAGCACACCGGAGTGGATCCTCTTCCACTGCTACTGTGGCCACTCAGTGACAATCTGGTCCCTTGGCATCCTGCCCCATGATGTGGTCTGCTGACCAAGTCTTGAAGGTTATGCCTGCCCTAAACCTAACTCTGTCCCTTCCAGATCCTCAGTGAGCTTGACCTTTCCATGCAAAAGCAGAAAGAGATGGAGAGGATGAGAAGAACCTGTGGAATCTAGAAATTAGTGGTCATCACACACAAGCTCAAGCCCACCAGATTCTCTGCCCTGAAATACTGGCCTGCATTTTTGGGTTGGGGTGACCTTGAAGAAAAAGAAATTCTCAAAAAATAACACCATCCATCTTGAAGAAGAGCAACCTCTTGAAGTACTACTAGTGAACAAGAGTGAGCAGTAGAGCCAACCAATGGACTAAGCCACTCAGGGAGAATAGCACAATCTCTTCCAAGAGCCAATTCAGACAAGGAAGTTTACAGCTTTGATGTTGGATCAGGACATCCTAAAGGTGCAGCTGCTCTTAGGGATTTGCATATCCAAGCATTAACAGTCCTATATGTGACAGTTCAGACCAGAGCAATCCGGGTCAGTTTCTGTCTATGATGAACCTTTCCTTCTATAAAATGACAAGAAAAGTGAGTCCAATAGTACAAACAGGTCTCCCTCTGACTAACAAACTCAGTTTAGCTACCAAGTGAGCACCCATACTATCCCCTGCTGTAGAAAAGGTCTGCTTGCATGCCACAGTTCAGCAAATGCAAAAGGTTTAATCCTTTTATCCAGAGGTTCAAATCCTCTTTCCCCACTACACCTACTCTTGACCTGACCCTCTACTCTTAAATATTCTATCATATCCCTATTCCCATGATATCTCAATTCTAACTGCTGTAGCCTTCTTAACATTAGAAGAATGATAAGTCCTAAATTACATACAAGCCCAAAAAGGTCTAGACTTTGTAGGCCCCTTTGATTATTACAGCTGGTAGCAAACAGAGTCACACTATTCGTTAGGGAGCCTCTTTGGAATGTGAATTACAGATAGTATTAGGATTCAATATAGAACAGGCACCAGTGTACCAATCTGCTCTGCAGGCCTGCCTCATTCCTTAAGGATATGTACCTGAACATGAATCAATATGGTAAGGTGAAGATAGAACTGTAACATGCAAAATTAATCTCCTTTCTGATCTTACTGAATCATACGACTGAATCATAGCTTGAGCAGGAATAGAAATTAACACCCTTGCTATCATTCCACTCATCTTCAAATCCCAGCACCCACGAACCATTGAAGCCATAATCAAATAATTCCTTGTACAAGCAGCCGCCTTGTCATTAGTCGCCTTTTGAAGCATAACCAATGAGACATTGGCCAACTAAACCACCCAACGTCCTGCCCCTATTGGCAACAGCAATTGCAATCAGACTAGTCCCAGTCCCATTCCATTTCTGATTCCCAGAAGTACTTAATCCCTAATCACAGCTATTATTCTAGCAAACATAATTAAATTTCCCATCTCC